TAGAGCTTGGGTAGACCTAGGTAAATTTATTTCATGAGTTCTAAAATTTGATTGCCATGATATTATAACGGTTTAATGGTCGCTATCTCCCGGAGAAGGCATCAGGATTAAGAGAAGATTTAAGAAAAGAAAAAGTAGGTAAATCGATTTACAACAATTAGCAAACCAAATTGTAATTGAATTAATTTAAATAAACCCAACAGATGGCATCCTGTCATGAAAGAAATCCCCATCGAAATCCATATTCCATAAAAAGGACGTCAATTTTGTCCCAAATTAGAATGGTTTCCGGGAATGTTTTCCAATTTGTCTCTTCATAAGAACCTTCTTTAACAATCTTCGAATTGAAGTAACAAAGAAATTCGCCGAATTGGCCCTACCGTTCTCGAGATAAATATGAATGGTAATGAGTTACTAATAACTCATAATACCATTCATATCTATCTTACACAAAAACATTTTTGTTAAATAGCGTTATATCTCAAATTAAATATCTGAAACTTTATCAAAAATGTCCAAATCGACTACGTCTGGCAACTTGGCCAATACCAAAGTACAGCTGCTCCATTCGCAGCTTGTCGCAAAGTTGGACAATAGTTCTCGAATATTGGACAGACATTGTAATCACTGCGACTTGGTGCTTTATAGCTTTTAGACGACGAAAGCGAATTTTGAAATGAATGGAAGTTCCTGTGCTTTTAGCTTTTGAGAGAAACATAAATGATTCTCCAGAATATTGGTCCAAGCGACGTCTTTGGCTATGAGACCAAATCTATGGACAACAAAAGGTATAGCAAATAATCACCCAGCACCGACGCCAAAATCATTATTTATCTACTGAAATCTATTTAAGGCAAATCAAAATCCCTTACTTAAAAGAAGACTGATTATAAAGAAAAAGTTTCTATACCATACAAACTGAAATAGTCCTACAGTTATTCAAGCTCTTTGCTCTCCCAGAAAAGGGATATCCCGAAAATAACTCCACTAAATCAGTTTCTACTAAATCCCGAGGCGCATTCTGCCAAACACCTCGAAATAAAACCACATAGACCCCACTAAGCTGTCTAACCCACGGCATATAAAACAATCGACACTGCGAAATAGAATCGAATGATCGGTAATGGTTGCCATGGACCTTATATGCAGTGGTTCCCAAACTGGAAATACGGCCTTATAAATCTCTATATAACCAATAAACATACCTACTTACATAAGTAGATATAGGTACCTAATATAAACGCACTATTAGCTACAAAATAACTCTTAGTATAACTCACCTGCAATCACAGCTCCCGATATAGTCTTAGGTCCAGTTTTCACCAAAATGGATAGGAGATGAGTTCGAATAACCAATCAGATTTGGTTCCTTACACGTCATCTCTCCGCTTAAATTCGGTTAGGATATCTGATTGGTAATTTAAACACATCTTCATCTCCACGTTGCAAGTTGGTGGAAACTGCGCCTGATACTGACATTAACAGGTTACCAAAAAGGTTTATTACCGTTTCTGAAAAATTGGAGAAAAATTAAATAACATGTTAGGTCCTACCAAGTTGACCATTTGGTCTTTTCTGAAGTTTGATCCTTACAGTTTGAGAACTTGTTTCCTAATGTATAATTCATGTTAGTCGCCCTCAGACGTCCGTTGGTGGCCTAAAAGGGACTCAAATTGACCGTGAATCGACACTTGTCTACCTTCCATTTGCAATATTGAAACCCGATATTAATTATGGATGACAGATCTTTCTCAGATGAAGCCTACAAAAATAATTTCCGATGGGATAAAATGTTGAGGATTTGCAATATTTCTTTTCAAGGATTTAGAGTAAGATTAAAATCCAATTATGTTTATAGATTCAGTATTGTTATCCGTAAAATTTTGGATAGGTAACCGTGATTATTTTATTAAGTTAGTTTCTGTAAAGTTTTATAACCTGATTAATATCATTATACTTTTTGTCTTGAAGCTTTGATTTTACAATTACAGTTTACCTACATTATTTCAATCATAGATTTTCTCTATAATTTTTATTAGTTACCTACTACATGTTATGTAGGTATGTTTCAGCGTCTTCCTAATGTTTTAAACAATAATTAAGATAATTTTACCTTTAAATTCGTCTCATTGTAAGTTACTTTCTGCATTACCTTCCTTTATCTGAAATCAAAGGCAATTTGAACAGTTCATGCGAAATGTTAGAGAGGATATTTTTAAAAGGGAATAACTTAAGTCAGAACAAAAAGTCGGATCTGATACTGATCCTCTTAGTTAACAATGGTACACGAACCAATAAATCCACAGAGATAAGAAAGATTTGCCAATGTTCATTTACTTCTTAGATAAATAGGGAGTTTAGTCACAATTTGCAAGGATGAGGGAAGGGAGATTAGGACGGGGAGCACGGATTAAACAAAGTTGAGGCCATTTGTCCTGAGACACTCCATGAGAGAGGACCAATTTAAGGACATTATGGAAATGTAAAATAAGTTGTGTAACTCTTCCATAATAAGTAAGTATTTCAGAAATCTGGTTAATTTGCCATTAATAAACTGAAATTGAAATCTTTGTTTTGCTTATCAAACCGCAAACTTTTTACTTAGCAGAATAGGTAAAGAACGATCGCATAGTAAACTTCTTCGCGTCGTTAGGTAAGAAATGAGGAGCGTATGATACTGTTTAAATCGCATGTCAAGTTCCTACATAAAAATATTATTAAAATGTACACAGAAATTTTTATTAATCTAGTACTTACCAGCAAAAGCACAAAATTTGTAAATTCAAAAATAGTTACGAACCCGTTGCGTTCGAAAACCCTCTTCTTCCTCCTATTAATTAAAGTAACTAGTTCTTTAACATAATCTTATACGCTATTATTCATATGCATTACAAAGAGAATACATTGAAATATGGTATGTATCGAGGCTTAATACTTACCCAAGGGTTACAAGCCTTAGAGGGTTGAGCAAACTCCGTTAATGGATAAACAAACCTCTTGCTTACGTTGGTAGCTATGATAACACCTGAGGCCGTAATAATAATGTTCCAGCAACCTACAACAGTAACTATGACTAGTCTTCTTAGTCTTGAAAATGGGAAAAAATTATCATCCGTCCACCAGATTATTCACTTACAAAGATTGATTCTGGCAGTCTTTTTAAAATTTTATTTTTAAGAAAGATTTCTATTTTGGAACGTTCCGATGATGCCGACAGCAAAAGTCCTAGTCCTAGTCCTAGGCAGCCTAGTGTTTGACACAGAGGATTATTATTATTATGAAACAAATGAAATAGCAATTGATAAAAAAAGAAAGAAAGACAACGCACCCGAAATTCTAAGACCAAGACCTTTCTTTTTAACTTTTCCGTCTTCTTGATCAAAAACATCTCTAGAAAAATAGATAGACAAATTAAATAAGAAAATACGTAAACAAATAGAGTTCGTAATATCTCATAAACAATTTATGGGACTGAAGACTGTCACAAACAGTGATGAAATAGCAATCAGCTCTAGTCCTCGAGCCCGCAATAAAAACAAAAATTTGCGATCCTTAAAATCATTTTTTTCCTTTAATAAAACAAGCCTATGGTGTTTTGCTTTTACAAATAAGCTATGAAAACGTGGTTTAAAGAGTTACAGCCATGGCGACAATTCACATTTTTATAGCTATTGTTACGCTGCTGTCGACATACGGTAATTTGGCAATTGTTGAGCAAATATAATAATAATATTGTTTTATAGCCACGATGTTTTTTAACTGCTCGTATACTAAGGCTGAGTTGCACCACCTCACTTTATCAGTAACTTTAACGATAACCGGTGTTTTTTGTATGGAGTTTGACAGATTTTTGACGTTTGTCAAAGTTAAAGTAAGATGGTGCAACCCAGCCTAAGCAAATTGTTCATCCTGTTTCAATGATTCAAAATGAACTAACGATTCCTGTTCCTGTTATCAAGTAGATATTCTATTAAGTAATTCGATTGTACATACATTCTTATTAGCATGGTATCATCAAAAGAACATGAAACGCAACACTCATAGAATATAAGTTCCGTATCTTTACTACTTATTTGGACTCAGAACGGTCACCCATTCAACTCCTGTTCTTTTCTTGCTATATGTGGCGTACAATAAAGATTATCTGTCTATCCTTACGAAAATGGAAATTGCATCACTTAGCACTGCAAAAAAACCTCCCAAGTGGCAACACTTAGTGAAATATTGTGATACTGGTGCACTTACATTTAAATTACTTTGTACGTTATAAATCCTGCGCAACAGCCCTCAGGCTGTAAAAGCATGGTGTAAAGTTTAATCCGCGTCTCTAGTTTATGGTTATTGCTATAAGATGCCATCATCATGCCTCGCTATGGTGACGACTACCATGAAAACTGTTATTCCTTGAAAGCTTGCCACAATGAAATTATTACTACCACATTAAATTGTGCCAAAGGCGTTATGTGGATTTATGTCATAAACCAGGCAAGTGGCAATCAGGATCATTACTACGCATTTTACAGGCTAGACTCTTGCTTGCAGTAATACACGAGAATTCCTTTGCCATTTTCTACTAATTTCTACAAGTTTTCCACGAGAATTTTACTCCCATACCTACATCAACGGCTGTGATTGAGGAAGACAGCTAGTTTTCAGCTAAAGCGTCTACAAGAAAGGAGGCTAGACTCTCGCCATGTGACTGCTGACTCTCTTTAAAAAAAGTTTACAGAGTAGGTACTATGAGAAAGGTTCAGGATTTGCCGAGAGTGAGGCACAATCCATCAAATAGCAGACTTTTTGGGCATGTCTGTGAGACACTTCCATCCTCTTTCATCATACAGATTTCCCTTGCCATTTTCTTAAAAAAAAACTAATATTGTCCACGGAGAACATAATATTCACGGTTGAGTTTGAGAAACATGAAAAAGATTTATACCATTTTAAGCATTGTAAAAATACAAATCAACAAACCATATTCATACTTATTCTTTTGTCCACAGAGAACACATTCACGGTGGTGGTCGAGAAAGATGGTAGAGGGCTTGGCATGTCAGTCTGCGGGGGAGGGGGTCTCGTGCGCATACGCCGACTGTACCCGCCACAACCAGCGTGGCGGACTGGCATGCTGGCTCCGAGAGACCTGCTGCTGTCGGCCAATGGAGTACCCTTGGCTGGACTGAGCACTTACGTGAGTATTTGTTATTTACCTACTTAGGTATATTGTGAAGTACCTGGATACGGGCAACGTAAGTCCATTCGTTGTGGAAATCCTTGGAAGAGCCTTTTTCTTGTGTTTTTTAAAGCGATTATAAAGTAATAAAGTCTTTATTGTGTATGAACAAAAGTTATAAGGATTCTTATAAATAGGTTACAGGCATTCTTAGTTNATGAAAAAGATTTATGCATGTCCTTGCGAGAAAGGGCGTAGACGAAAAAAAAATCAAAATCAAAAATATTTATTCAGTTTAGACCACAAATAGCACTTATGACTCTCGCTCCTTGACTGTTTCCTTTACCATTTTAAGCATTGTATAAAAACAAATTACCAAATTATTCATACTCGTACATTACGATATTCTTTTGTCCACAGAGAACACATTCACGGTGGTGGTCGAGAAAGATGGTAGAGGGCTTGGCATGTCAGTCTGCGGGGGAGGGGGTCTCGTGCGCATACGCCGACTGTACCCGCCACAACCAGCGTGGCGGACTGGCATGCTGGCTCCGAGAGACCTGCTGCTGTCTGCCAATGGAGTACCCTTGGCTGGACTGAGCACTTACGTGAGTATTTGTTATTTACTTATACAGGGTGGCCAAAACAGTGAGGTCTAAAAGAAAAATTTAGATTTCTTACATCAAGGTGTACCTAAATCACCCCCATGTATGTAATACGATTATGCTTAGTTTAGGAGATAGACGGGGAACGTAAGGCCTCAGCCTCGAGTTTAGCGGGCAGCGGGGCGGGAGCGGCGGCGCCGCGGCAGCGGCAGGATCTTATGCGTGAAATCAAATAGACCGGTTCTCGAAATCAGCGGCGCGGCAGCGGCGCCGGAGCGGGCAACGAGCGGGCAGCGGCGAGGGAGCGGGTAACGAGCGGGCAGCGCGCTCCTTCTTTTGCCCACAATAAATCGAGCGTTAGGAATAAATTTGAATCGAAATAAAATTGTCGCCATTGTTCAGACATTTCGTTTGCGAATAAAAACAACTATCTCGACAACACAACCCCGAACACAACACTTCGCCACTAAAGCGCCGCGCGAGCTGCCCGCTTGTTTCGAGAACGGGTCTGCGTTGCCCGCCCCGCTCCCGCGCCGCCGCCGCCGCCACCCCGCTGCCCGCTAAGTTCGAGGCTGAGGCCTAAGACCATTCGTTGTGGAAATCCTTGGAAGAGCCTTTGTCTTGTGTTTTTTAAAGCGATTATAAAGTAATAAAGTCTTTATTGTGTATGAACAAAGGTTATAAGGATTTTTATAAATAGGTTACAGGCATCTCTTAGTTCTACCTTTTCAGGCGTATACACTATACATTATACCTAGTACATGTTTACAAGTTAATAGAGCTTTCCTTTTAGATCAAACTCTAATAATAGTTTCGAAGTTAGGATGGTTTTTAAAATCTTGCATACTATAGTCTCGTAAATAACTATTTCTAGGAAAAGATTTTCTTAGTCTTATTCTGAAACTAGTAAGTAAGTAAGGTAGTAGAACTAAAATAATTCAGAAAACTGGAGAAAATTCTACTTGTATATTTAGGTAGGTACGTTGAATGAATACACCATCCATTAATTTGCAATTTTAATAAGCACAACGAAATTTAAGCCAGAAACGTAGCCAATTTAAGAAGTTTATACAATGACTGTGGCGGTGAAGAAAGGAATATCACCTTTGCGTGACTAACTCTTTGTAAGTCAGAAGGAGGTTGCAGTCAGCGATCAATAATTACAAAGTGGAGCTCATATTGATCCTCAATTGTAATACATGTACTCACTCAGGAATCAATGACTCTACATCGTGGCATATTTATAGACATAATATTAAAGACTATTTTGCACTAAAAAAAATATGGTCTGAAGTGCTGTTGATTGGATTGAATTAAATAAAAATCCGTTAGTAACATAAGTTAGAGGTAGGAAACAAACTTGTTTATTACAAAGAAAAAACATACGTTTCGTGTTTACTTGACAAGAAAATAAAGCAGGAAATATATGAAATACAACAATATAACAATAAATCGTTGGTAACGGTTCTCATGTTGCTAATAACTCAACTAGTGAATTTATAGACTTAAACAAACATTAAATAAAACGAACAAATAATGTGACAATACAAACTGTCTTTAAAACAATGTGCTTTATCGCGTGAGTTTATTGATAGGTATAAAATAAGAGAATAATAGCTCATTTTGTCGACTTTGTGAGCTCAAAACGCCATTTTATCGCCAAATCGTGCAAAGATGTTTATTTGACCTCACGAACCCGAATTCTCCGCCGTTAACCAATTTAGACCATTCGTATTCGCGATCAAACTTCAAGTTGGGCTTTTGTTCTGTATTTCCCCCGAAGAGGCTTTTGTAAAAATCAAGGCCGATCTGTCCCCGTGTTTTTACGTGCGTGGTGTACAAACTGTCTTAGGTCAGGTTTCCACCAAAGCGTAGAGGAGAGAAATTATGTTTAAATAACCAATCAGATTTCGTTATTTCAACATCTCCTTTCCTCTCTGCTTTGCTGGAAACCGAACCTTATACAGTCACGACCGAAAGTGCAAATGACGCTTTGAGAATTTACCAAAGGCAAAGTCAAATGTGAAACAAGACCGCATCGACCCAGCTATATTTACTTGATTGTGTTTTTTATTTTGTAGCCCGCGTGATTGCTTGTCGCGTCGTTACCTTTGTCTGAGACCTCACTTTTATACACAACTGTACTTACATTTTATGTAACGCTAGCGGTGGGCGTTTTACAGTTTATTACGGTCCTCGCGTCAGAGTTTTCATAAAAACTTTTTACGTTTACAACCTAGCCTCGGACCCGGCGAAGTGCTATGACAACAAATAGCATTTTTAACATGACATAATGCTCATTTTTGTTAGACACAACATGGCGCTTCATGATAACATTGTTTCAGCAGGTAGGGTAAAAGGTCAAGTGAGGTATTTTTCGTTTAGCAACGCCCTTGAATAATAAATTAGTTTTTCTTGTTTAAAAACCCAGTGAATATGAAATGAAATTTCGATTTGGTTAGATAAAATCTGGGTATTGTGTGAAGGAACGATTCGTACGGTCATTGTAAGTCCGATGTGGCTGTTATCACGCTATTGAGAATCTAAAATCGAAAGCGTTACGTTATTATGCGTTTTTTGACCTCAGCTTCAAAGTAATTGGGCAGAACAGTGCTTTACTTTTTAGTGTTATTGCAAAAATACGATTCATATGACGCTGCAGGCGAATCACAAAAGGTCGTAAATCCTGAATCATTTAACAGCATTAACAAAACACTTCCCAAACAGGCTGGCAATTCAATATTTATAATAAACTAGCTGACCCGGCGAACTTCGTACCGCCTTAGCGTAGAGATTTTCTTAATATTTTTTTCCGTAAGAACCATCCTTGGACTTCCACAAACATTTAAAAAAAAGAATTATCGAAATCGGTTCAGCCGTTCACACGTGATGCCGTGACAACGCGAAACGGGTTTCATTTTTATATATATAGATAAATGGGCCATTACTCCAATTTGGTTTGGGGAAATTCCATTATTTCCCGTATAATTTCCCTTTGCGAGGCGCGCCGTGTACATTCAAAACTACGGGTCTACTCTGCTGTGTGGTTCCTGTATTTTCTTCTCTGTCTATCGCTTTCGCACATAAATGAATCTTGGGTCGAATGAGAGAGACCGATAGAATAGAAAATAGGGACTTCGACTTTGATAGTAGAGTCCCTGGTTCGAGTTGTTTGAAGCAAATTGGCTTTGTTCGGTATTGTTCGAGCAAATACAAATACCATCAGCTAGGGACCGATATTTTTATCAATTAACATTTTAATAAGGGAATTTTAATAACGCGCACGAACTGTAAGTGTGATGTGAAAATTAATCCATTGTTTAGTCTGCTAGATATCTGAGTACAATGTATTTGCAATTGAAAATTGACAAAACCAAGCTGGTAGAATATCAAGTGTATTCGCATGGTTTTAGAGGACGTTATTTCTGTTATTCTCATGATGTTTACTGTCCGAAACTACCAAAACCAATCTAAGTTCCACCCGTCGCAAACAACACGCGGAGTTGGCAAATATTCGCAATATCGCGCCGATCTCGATCCAATAAAGTTACCTACACTCCAGACGCAAGATTAATAGACGCGTCTTCGGTACACCAAAAAAATAGTAGGTTTCTTTCGAGCCTTTCTTGAAATAAACGCGTAGGGCTGCCGCAAGTTTTACAAGACCATGTTTTGGTTGCCGGTAAGAGGTTTGGCGTACTACCGCATATTTATTTAAATACTACCACATAAATAATAAATAATACCTGCATTAACATGAATAAGCTAATTTTATCAAAAGTAAAAGGATGCGCACACCGTGAGAAAACAGTCTTTTTTTTCCACTGAAGAGTGGGCAGTAAATGCAACATAATTTTTTGCTATTAATCTTTCATGTTAACTGTTTAGAAATCAGTGGAGTTTATTTGATCAAATAAATGAAAAGCTAAGCGACGTCCAAAGTTATTATAATAGTAAAGTATCATACAGCGGTGTTGACAAAATAATATTTACAACACTACCAAACCTGAATCAACACTTGACATAGATTAATAGACGCCTTTGACATACTAAAGTAAAAAATACTAAAAATAAGAACGTTGAAAGTCTGAGAGTCTCTAGGGCTGTGACAACGATTGGATTTTTCCATAGAGCCTTAATCTAGACACTATTTTTAAAATATTTAGTCATCATCATCATCATCATCTCAGCCATAGGACGTCCACTGCTGAACATAGGCCTCCCCCAATGCTTTTCATGTTGCCCGATTGGTAGCGGCCTCCGTCCAGCGTCAAACTGTTTAGTACCTACCGTTTATCTTTCACTATATCTACTCTACCGAGTATAATGTGCCCATAATTGTCGTTATTTCCTCTAAATCAGTGAGCCCAATATTCGATTAGATGGACCTTTCATCTATCGATATCAAACATCGAATGTTCATGAGCCACCGCCACAGTTTCTTTATTGCCGGTAAAGTAACACGCAGGGAGTTGGCAAATATTCGCAATATCGTCTTGGAGCTGACCTCGATCCAATAAAGTTACCTACACTCGAAGGACAAGATTAATAGACGCGTCTTCGGCCCGTCATTACCGGCATTGCCCTGCTTCCACGTTAGTGAGGGGGTGTGGTCGATAAGGTGGATATTGTGTCGATAGATCCAGAAAATAATATATTTGTGGATATGAAAGCGTCGCAAAATAGGTTGCTGCCATGTGAAGGAATTGTATTATAAATATGGCATTTAATTCTGCCAGGTGTAGTGGAAAGTTTGTGGAAAGTCAAAATGTGTGACGGCCGAGAATACAGACAATATTCCACTATCACACTTGTTTGTTGTTTACTCTTGGAATAATACACATAGCTTGAAAAATACATATTTCTAAGAGAGAGGTTTTATTTTTACAGCCAATCCAAGAGTGATCACAAACACTAGCGGTTAATGCAACTCAACATTACATTGATAATGCTCATCTATCGATATTTCATTTCCTTCCTATTCGTACCACCAAACATCACTTTAACGGAGCCGATGTCAGCTCTCCCAAAGCCTTTCTAACAATAAAACTCAGTATCGTAAAATCAGATGACTTTAGCAATTCCGTACTACAGCGAACAAATTATACATTTAACCTTTGAGAATAGATTACGTTTCGCCATAAAATGAAATGTAGTCTGTGGAATGGGTTTTGTCATGCTATCTAATAGAAAATCTGAAATACAAAGAGTAGATCGGATACACGCAAATTCATTTTTTAATTCTAAAATTGTTTCTGCATAGCCAATTACCGTTGGAACGTTTTTGCTTTCTCGACAGCGGCAATAGCGACGGATTTCTTTGGAAAAATGTCGTTGCATGTTGATAAAACTGTGTATTGTTCTACTTACTTATTAGGTTAACTGCATTTTATATTATTCAGTTTATAGTATTATATTACTTCTGTGGAGTGGCGGCATATTTATTTAACCCAATGTTTTAGGATGCCTCGTATCGTATCCTTTCTTCTTCTCATTATATCCATTGCGTAAATTGTAACAGGTCATAAAAACAGAACAGAATTCAACTTGTTAACCCTCAATTTGCATGTCCCAGGGACTCCATGTGAAACTGTTTTGGTTCATATTTTTTTTCAATACGCGAATAAAGTGCTGTGCGCTTGATTAGCTTCCTTTGGTGTCGTGGCCAACTCGGGGGCGAGAGGTCGTCTGCGTGCGCATCACAGAAAGTTGAGTAATTGACACTTGCGGAGTCCCGTGGACTCCACCATACACTTTGCGTAACAAAATTTTTTATTATGATATTTTTTTTTTTTTAAATTATGGTTTATTTACGGTTTGAGTGGATCAAAAAAGCATCAAACAGTCACAATACATGATTTATCAATACGTTAGATGGAAATGAGGCCTCAGATATGAGGGACTGGGAAGAAAGTCTAGAAGAAAATGCAGACGATGAAGAAAAAGAATAGGATTTTACATCTTACGTCCCGAAAGATTTGTTTTGATGATTTTGTATTTTGATGATGTGTTTTGATGAATTAAAAGAACGACTGCTTATTTTGAAATTCATTTCACAAAAATATGCTTGTATTGTTCGAAAAAGTTTGGCAGGCAATGTGCTGCTCGTAGTAGCTACTAAGCCATTGCACGTTTTTTCGTGTTAATTTTTTTCTAACATTTTACATATTATTTATCAAGAAGACTGTTATGTCCACATAATTTAGAGAGAAAAAAAAATTTGGTTAATTTTTTTCTAAGTTTAAGAGGTACAAAATGCCTATGTCGATTTTTATGTGATTTTTACGACTTCATGAAAATTTTATTTTTTAAATGAATTTTAATTAATGTTTCCATTTCTGTTGTTTCTAATTAATAGTATACTAACCATATTATGTTACCAAATAAAAAATATATTACTTTTATAAGTATTAGTATATTTTTTCTTCATTTGAAATATGGAGTCCCTGGGTCTCCACCTTACACTTAACGTAAGTTTTAGTCACCATGCAAACTGAGGGTTAACCACTGGGTATGGAGGCATTAATTAAAATGCTTCGTCAAAATTAATTAAATTGCTTTCTGAAAACGCTACACTATACAATGTACTTGGAAATACAGTAAATTATTATGCATGAAACAAAATTCCAGGATTTCGGTGTCCACAAACTAGCTTATTAGCCGTACCTACTCAGCTGTGTGAAAGAAGACAAACATGACCGTTGAACTACCTGCCTTACTGTGATCGACATAGAATAGCTTTTCAATCTTAAAATGGCTCTACTAAAACTAAAGTCCACTCACAGGTAACTAATGGCATTAACCTATAATACGTGGGCGATTGCGCGGATTAATCTCGCCCATTTTATATGGAAACAATAGAAGTGCAGCGGTTATTTGCACCTTTATTTTCATTGGAGAAATACCGGCCATTGTGGAGAAATGCGCTTTAGAAAAGCCATTTCCAGAAGAGTCTGGCCGTTCGCACGATTGATGGATTGAGGTGTAAAGTTGAAACAGATTCTTGCTAGAAATTCAACTGGTTTTCTAAAACATAACTTAAATATTTCTTACATCTTTGTTTTAGCTGCCGTAGAAGTCAAACAGACTGTTCTTACTTTTAGAGCTAGACTTTTGTGATTATAAAAATAATTTAGTTATTCATAGTGTCAAATCCTACTTTAATCCCACACTACATTTTTACTCGTGTTGGTTCGCCATTTTCGACTCGGTCGTTTCTCAGAAACAATTTTTGGAAACCAAGTTTCATTTTATATATAGCCAACAAATACACGAGCTATAATTATTATTCATTAAAATAATTATTATAATAATTGCCACAATTCAATATCCTATTACAAATAACAACTTAATAATATTACGAAAGAGAGATGAGTTTAAAACAAACAGAGTAATTGCAGCAATTAATAATTTACTCGGATTAAACGTTTCGTTGTTAAATAAAATACGACACACGAGAGTCTCGATTGGTTAAATATCTTTCACTGTTGTTTCACTGATCATTAACTCTGAGATTGATGACAAATTGACTTAATTTAGTTAACGCACGAAAGGGAAGTAAGTTTTGAGGAAAAACTTCCAACATTTTCTTTTACTTTTCTATTTTCTTAAAGTTATTATTATTGCACAAATTAATCCCGTTAACTTCTCTTAATTAAAGTAAATAGCTTGTGTTAAAAATTACTTCATCACGATAGTCCTCGGATCTCGAGTTGGCCTGTCCGACACCTTCACCGTTTGATTTGTCGCTGCACTTCCCTTAAACCAAAGTGAAGCAAAATTTTAGCTTATTAAAAAAACTATAATCCTATCAAAACCACTTTCGGCTGCAGGAAGCTCTAGAAGTTCTTCGGACGGCGTCAGCGCGCGTCGAGCTACGAGTGTGCCGGCCGCCGCCGGACGTTCTCGAGAGCGTCACGCCGCCGGACCCGCCGACCCCGCCGGCGCGGACGCCGCACCCGCCGCACTTGCCGCCGCTTGACCCGCTCAACTGCCATCCAATGCACGCCAGGTAATAAGGCTGGCTTTTATTTGACCTGTAAACATTCATAATCGATTTCAATTCGATAACATGACTGACTATCTTTCGTTATCGCCTATGCTAGCGTTTTTCTGTGAGATCTCTCCGACCCTCCACGTTGGATAGATACGAAAAATATGCTGTATTAGACAATAAAGTAATCGATTGACGTGGAAAACCAGTTAATAGGGCTAATCAAGAAAGTGCTACGAATTACAGAACTGAACATCATAGAATTGCTACGGCGCTACAGATAATACTCGTAGTACTGCTACAGATCAAAGTAGTGCTACGGCACTCTCGGTAATGCTTATTGCTTGCTACGAGAACGTAGTTAATCATGAATTACTGTAGTCCGGGTAAATTCGACAGCCTGTTCGGCAGACAACTTGGAGTTAAAGTAGAGTCTCCGTAAAGCTGCTTATCATTCAATCATAGAACAATAATTATCAAGGATGATCATAATTAAAAGTTATCAACAATAAAAGGCATCCAAACCAAATTGTGCCATTATCACCATCACCCTCATCACACGTTTACGGCTTTTAACCAGACTGTCTCAAACGACAAGCAGCGCGACGACCTCGTCGTCCGAAGGCCGGGGCAGACGCGAGGCGAGCCCGGAGCCCGACCGCCGGGACCTACACCTACCGAACCTCGACCGACCGCTTCCAGTATACGACGTGCAGTATGGGGTAAGCTTTTGAAATTGATTCAGTTTATTCAGAACATAGGCCCTTTCCAGGGCACCTATACACGTCCCAAATATAGCTTGCCCTACCACCACTTCGGGACAACATATGGACAAATTTAGTTTCCATAGGGTGTCACTTAAAAATTAGGGATTGATAGTGAAAACGGGCATCAGTCACCTTTGTCTGCCTCATTTTCAATAAAATACAATAAAATATCGCATACCTGACACGCAATAAGCGCCTGCTAATAGACGAAAAGGCTTTTGCTCTTTACCACAGCACGACCACAGGCTGTTAGTTTAATCCCAACAAACATTTGTGTGCATAAACAAACTATCCGTTAGACTGTGTATTTTGATTTTCCTATGTGAGCTATTAGTTTAAAACTAGAAAATTTTGATTTTGAAAGTTTAATTTGGTCTAGATGGATCAAAAAGTCAATTTACAGTCTTCTTTTTAAAATAATTTATTTTATAAAATTCCGGAAAATCATTCATCCTTTGGTAAATTAACGCCCTCTAAATAAACGGTCCTGCCGAGCAATAAAATTCTAAAAAACAATTCCTTTTCAGAATTTCAATTAAAGCACTTTCAACAAATCTAAATGGCTGCCATTACAAAAGAAATATTTTATTTCAATCGCCCTAAATTAAAATCTCTTTCCAATAACAAAGCCTTTCATACAAAACTCTTAGCGATACAAATGTATCGCTAAGCCCGGAGTTATTTTTAATGGGTCTCAATTTCCGCGCCCCAATTAATACCTTTTTGTTCACGCCTACCAGGATGACGGATCGGTGGTGAGTAATTATCTCAGGTTTGGATGAAATAACGGGGACTAATGATCAACGGTTTAAAAGGATCGCGGAGAAAGGTGTGCCTAAAGATAACATGTTTTTGAGAGCATAATACCCGCAAATGTGAATACGAATGTTTTACAAAGAAGTCGTTTGGGGTCGATACACATAGGGAAATGAGGCTCGTATTTTCAAACGAAGCTTACTTTATTTATTTTGAAAGCAAGCATTTAATTCAAGTTTATGGATAGGTCTATTATTGAAATTCAAGTTCTCAGTGTTTGAGTACTCGTTAAACGCATTGATTTTTATTACATGAGGCTACTTATTGCAGTTAGCTTACTAAAGTAATCGATTTAGTTCTGCTGAAAGAGCAGATACACACTCGTACTTAGTAGGTATACATTCCTTTACAAATACGTGATATTTGTTACTTACTAGTATAAATGAAAGTATTGCACTACACTTTTTGTGTCTTAACTCAACTTCTCTCAACAAAGAAGAAATCTTGCTTAACTTTTTGACTCTACATCAATAAAAGAACATCAAAATAACCCCAAAACCTTTATCCAGGAGTTCGACATAATAATGACGAAGGTCAACGGCTCGCTCGGGTTCACCCTTCGGAAGGAGGACCACAGCGCGCTGGGGCACTACGTCAGAGCGCTTGTGAGGGAGCCGGCCCTCAGCGACGGGAGGATACAGCCGGGAGACAGGATCGTTGCGGTGAGTCCAGTTATTTTGTTAAAAATTACATCATATTATGTAATAGACTTTTTTGTTTTTAACTTAAAAAAACATCGTTCGTTCGTTCGTTCGTTTCAGCCGAAAGACGGTCCACTGTTGGACAAAGGCCTCCCCCAAGGATTTCCACAAAGACCGGTCCTGCGCCGCTCGCATCCAGGTGCCTCCCGCGACCTTCACCAGATCGTCAGTCCACCTAGAGGGAGGCCTGCCCACGCTACGTCTTCCGGCTCGTGGTCGCCACTCAAGAATTTTCCTGCCCCAGCGGCCGTCAGCTTTACGAGCTATGTGCCCCGCCCACTGCCACTTGATTTTAGCGATTCTGCGGGCTATGTCAGTCACTCTTGTTCTCCTACGGATCTCCTCATTTCTGTTTCGATCACGCAGGGAAACTCCGTGCATAGCACGCTCCATCGCTCTTTGGGTGACCTTGAGCCTTCTTATGAGGCCCATAGTAAGCGACCACGTCTCAGTAAAAAAACATAATATAGTCCCGCTAACCCGTCGGGGTTAGAACCCGCGTTCCTCGGATCTCGATTCGGGCAGCCAACACCACTGGGCTATTGACGCTTGATAAATTATTAAGTGCGATGTTGCAACAAAAATGTATAAGTAGTCTGACGGACTCTTGACCATAAAGAGTTGGAGCTAGAACTACAATGAAAAGATTAAAAATAAATGCATGATGCTGAGTAATTTAAGTCCATTGTGCAATTCGCAGATTAACGATTTCCTGATACTTTGTGTAAGGAACAGTTATTTGGACTTTTACACCAACTAAATATAAATCATATTCTATCCAATATCAAATTTCTGCGAATAGAATCAAAAACATATTTCTCATATTTTTTTACTAATTTACGCTTTTGAGTTTATTAATTTGAGTTTTTAAATTCTACCACACGAAAGTAACTTGGAATAAAGTTTGGAAAATTTCACCTACGGGTCGGTGATTCATCACTTAGTAATCCTTTCGGTTTGCCGTGATCATTAACATCTGAGTCAACAGCTCGATGTAGTGTCTCTTGGTCGTAAGGTACAGACGGTACCTATTATGATGTAAGCATGTATTTTATATCAGTTCCTTGGCTTAAAGAATAAAAAATAGAAGAAGATGATGATGCTTATCAAATAATTTTTATAAAGAGAAATAGATGACTTATGCCCGTTTTCACCATAAATTCCTAATTTTTAAGTGACCCCTATGGCAAAAAAAATCCTGTTAACCATTAACGTAGGGGTCACTTCAAAATTAGGGATTGATGGTGAAAACGGGCGTAACGCCCTTCATCATTTCAGCCATAGGACATCCACTGCTGAACCCTGACCGCTACCGTAGCCAGGAACTGCGGGGCTACCGGAGACTGGGGGCCTGGTCGCTGTTATGTTCCTCATTGGGGGGATCATTGCCGATACTCGCCACGCTTGGCAGGCGGGTTGGCGAGCGCAGTTTTTTATAAATTTCGCACGCAGACGCTGCTGCCCATCTCGTGCTACAGGATTTTGTCGCCTCTTACGACACGCCTCCTGTTGGCGGTGGGGAATTGTATTCTTTACGGCCGTCCCCACACGGCACGCCCTTATTCATAAACATTACAATGAAACAGGGTGAGAAATGAACCAATCACAGAGCACTATTCAACGCTGTGCGTTCGATTTGCTGCTTCACTTAAGCAAGCATCGTTTGTGAATACGGGCATCAGGAATCGATTCAGGTCAGGTGGAGTTGAAGTCCAAAGTCTAAATACTTTGGACATCCATTTTGATTCGACAAAACAGTTTACGGACTAAATCAATAGGTAATTCGAGTAATTTATCTCTTTCGCTATCATTAAAAATAAGGCTCATCTGTGGAAACGGAAAATGAATCTGTGGAAATCTTGAATGTTCAACCTTATTGGCTTTGTAATAAAATTCACCTTTTATCTATTACCGTTCAGAATCCAGCTAGCAGTATGAAAACCGTATTTGTCCGGTATGTTTGCTAATCCGCCAGCGAATTCCGTCGTGCAAATATTCTGGTTTTCCCGAATCACGCTCGCGACAGTCTATTGTTAAAAAATATCCAGTCGAATCGAAAGATCAAGCCGTTTGCAAATATTTGCACGCGGTCGGTGACCGCATGAGCAAACATTACCGAGGAAATGAAATTGTTTTAAGATGTTCTCTGCTGGATGAAAAGACGACAGCATAGACTATACATTTTTATTGCAAAATCGCCCGTATTACAACTGAACAAGATGTCATAGTGTTTAGCTCGATGTGGTGTCTGTACGTAAAATCTTATTGACTATTGTGAGACGTCAGTAGGTCTGAATAATAATTGTGCCTAATCGGGTTATACTAAAATTTTATTAGTTTTCGATGTACAAATATCACTTTGCGTAATTAGAAAATATTTTACATAGTCAGGACGTCTAAAATAATAAAGTGAGATTACTTGCGATTGCTCCCTATATTTTAAGGGACTTGTAATCTTAGACCCAGCCCCTCTAGATTACCTAACATGACAATTTCAATTTTAAAATACCTACAGCAAATCGCTACATAGCTAACGAAGTGATTCGGAATTACGACTGTCACGTTTTGCAACTTTTCTAGATTTTTTTAGACTACATACTTATGGTTCAAACTTAGCTGAACTATAAAAACTACAGATTTTTTTTTACCGTCTTTTGTTTTACTTTAGGTGAACGACACACCAATGTCGAACATGTCCCACGCGGAGGCAGTGGCGTTCTTACGGGCGTGCGGTGCTGAGGTGAGGCTGCGCCTTTACCGGGACCATGCAGCCACGCCATTGTCGCCCATGTCGCCTAAGGAAGAAGTACCAACTGACTCTGACCCACCACTGCTGAATAGGCCTAAACCTCCTCTACGGTGAGTCCTGACTTCTGCTTCGGTTGAGTCTGCCAAAGATTCTTAAAGACCTCTTATTTATGACGCTCTACCTTATGAGAATTACGGTTTCAGGGAAAGGTAGAGGTAAGAGTATAGGGATGTCTCCATACGAAGTTAGACTTTAGACATTATACAGAACTGGCGATCCGGATCAGAGGCTTTCAGACGTCTCGCGCTTGTTGATTCTGGCTACACCTGTACAATCTTAGTGACTAGACTCAAGTCACCCCTCCACTCTCAAACTGGTTTATATGTGATCCGAATTAAACAATGAAATGGACTATCACAACTATATGTAGGCCTAGAATGCGCGGCACTAAAAATTTAATATTTTATCGAAGCATTTTACCGATTTTGCATAATAGTTTTAATCATGGAACGCAACCTTGCCCCGCTGATCAGGTTTTTAATTCGGAGGTATTTGCCAATAAATGGAAGATTATATTGGGATTCTCCCCAAGACTTTTTAACTAATATCTTCCTAAATCTCCTCAAATAAAACCTATTTCCATACTACAGCCCCGAAGCAGTATCAATGCTGTGCGACTTGGCGGCGCGACGGCTGACGCCCGACGTGGACGGCTCGCGGTCCCCCTGCCTCTCGCCCCGCAAGTTCAGGAAACTGACCAAGGATAACAACCACTACGAACAGCCGAACGGTGCGTATTGCCTTCTAGTTCGTACTGTATAAATGTTTACTTTTCTTATACACAAAAAAATGAGTTCTTGATTAGGTCCAGGATTGCTTTAAAGCTGTTTCAGCATTATTCCAGGTTAATAAGAAACATGTTTGTTTGTCTGTCTAGGTAGTTTTAACTAAGCAAGGAGTGAACCTACAACAATATCGGCTAATCATTCAAAATCGAAATCAAAATTTTGAAATATTTACTTTTCTTACACAAAAAATGCTTGGGTTCTTGATTAGGTCTAGGATTGCTATAAAGCTGTTTCAGCATTATTCCAGGTTAATAAGAAACATGTTTGTTTGTCTGTCTAGGTAGTCTTAATTAAGCATGGAGTGAACCTACAACAAATACGGCTATCATTTTTTTAAGTTTTTATAATTTAGCTATAATTACTTACATACACACATAAACACAAAATTCTACATTTGTGCATCAAGGGCTTTATCAGAGAAGTCAATGTAATAAACTGAAATGAACCATACAATACAATCGCCAGATAATATTGTAAATATCAGAGACGCCGTTTAAAATCAGTCATTTATTATGGCCGCATAATAAAAATAGTACGATAGGTAAGTACACCATGTACCTAATACCAAAACAGAATTATGATCACAGTAACACACCACATCCGAATGATTGATAAATAAATTACGACTAATCGGGCACCATCGAGCCATACGGAATGAATCGATTACGTAAATCGGCGCTTCGTTTGGCTCGTAATTCGTCTACCTATCTGGGGTAATGATGTGAGAGCTTAATGGACGCTCACTTTTTGGTACCCTTAATTTCTATTAAAAATTCTGCCTGTACTGTGCTGGGTACATCAGATTTTAACCTACACTTTCTCTGTACATACTTCCACTACACTTAAAAATATACTCAGTCGACTCATTCTTTTTGTTAGTCGCTTTTCAAAGAACATAGAACTAGATTTATCCCAAAAATTTCGATTTGGAAAAAAATATGTAATGTTTCATAAGAATAATGTAGCTTTCGTTCGACCTTTGAAAGAATTGTCAAAATCAGTTCAATAGTTCCAGAGTCCTTCCTTACTTCCTACAAACAAACTCGCAAACTTACTTTACCTCTAAGGCTGGGTTGCACCATCTTACTTTAATAAATAAATAATAATAATAAATAAATATCCTTAGACATTTTACACTGCGCTTCTAGTCCCAAACTAAGCAAAGCTTGTACTATGGGTACTAGACAACGGATATAAACGTACTTAAATAGTTTTTTTTTTGTAAATACATACTTATTATACATAGAAAACACCCAGTCCAATACAAACAAATATGTTCATGCACACAAATGTTTGTACTGTGCGGGAATCGAACCCGCTACCTCTGGAATAGTAGTCCGTATCGAACCACTACACCAAACGGCCAACTTAACTTTGACAAACGTCAAAAATCAGTCAAACTCCATACAAAAAACATATCGTTATAGTACGGTTATCGTTATAGTTACGGTTAAAATTACATGGTACATCTCAGCCTAAGGCTTGCACCACCTAACTTGGACTGTAACTTTAACGATAACCTGTGCTTTTTGTATGGAGTTTGACAGATTTTTGATATTTATTAAAGTTAAAGTAAGATGGTGTAACCCAGCCGAAGATTAGTACAGATTAATTTGTGACAACAACACACATTACCGAGCTTGTGCATTACTAACAATGTGTATGTCAAGGTAATTGACTAATCCATTCACGAGCACGGTATTAGGCAAACTAACGATATTGATCCCGCATCCATTATCCGAACTAATTAATGTAAGAGTTAATTAAGTACGCACAGTGAGCCGGCTTAGACACTGACACAAACGACGTCGCGGCATGCGACGCGAATGGCTTAAACTAAGGACCTTCTGAACTTTCGCTAATACCTATTAGCGTATGTTTTGAGAAGTATTACTTCAATTTCTCAATAATTAGAGCTTACGTTAACTATACTTACGTTGATAACGTTGTTGATCTCAATTTTAGAAATAACAACTGAGGTGACATGAAGATTTGCTATCCAGCAATGCCCTCATCCGTGAATAGTGCGATAATGATAATGAAATTCAGACTCAAAAACTCAAAAAGTTTCTTATCGTAGAATCATGTATGTGATGTTATGATTCATATATTTTATGTGGTTATTACAATCAGCTCTCTTTATTGCAAACTCCGTCTTCAGCTCGGGCTTCATGGTTCTCTTTACGACTATAATAACCATTATATCATAAATCTTAAGAATTATGAGGTCTGTAATCACCTTTTTGAGACGTCCAAAAAGCATTTGCGTCGCATGCCTCTAAATATTTATCCGCGCCTAAGCGAGGTAGATGTTTCGCGCAGATGTTCCGTGCGCCAACATATCGGTTGAGCCCACGGAACGTCCCAAAAGCACCGCTGAGACGAGGCCACCGCAGCGAGCACACACTGTGACACTCGCCAGCCCCACTGCCCCACCTAGTAGAAAACAAAAGCTAAGCCTGACAGGTGAGCAACTCTGTCGGCACGACGACCCCATCGCTTCACACCACAATCCGCAACGCTACTGACGGATCAAACCATACTCGGACTATGACACACGACACAGTAGCCTGTAGTCTAAGCATTTCCATGTTCTCGATCGCCTACAAGACAGCGCTAATACTCTCGTTGTTACTTCTATTTGCACATCCATGTTCGTCATCAGTGTTCCATTCTGCACACAGATATCACGATTGCATGACCGGTCAGTTTCTTCCATGGCCCTCCTAATGCACTCACCCCTTCACCATGTGAGATGAATTTTGAAGGCGTGTTGACACCAACCTAGGCGTAAACCTAGTCGAGTCGATCACATTTCATAGGCTCAATCTAAACCTTGATAGTTTGGACATTTTTTTTTTCACTTGCTTGTAACGTCGGTGTAAACACGCACTAATCTTCTAAACTAACATTTCTGTCAAAAGCATCTTCAGATATTTGTATGCAGAATGGGACAGCTCTCTCTGCTGACTTCGAACTGACCGTCTGCCCGTGAATTCCAGTACCCCCCCACGGCTACGAGCTAAATAACCTGGATAACGATGCGCTGGACGCGCCCAACATCTACCAGGAGGACATGAGCCGGCAAAGGTACGCTGAGCCGGCCTTCCCAGTGGACTCTGATGAGCCGGTGTCGATGCCGGCAGAGCTGTCCAGCGACGAAGCCAAGTTCAAGCACACAAACCCCGCGTATCAGAGCGCGGTACTGCACACGACTAGTAGTGACTGTGAAGCCAGCAAAGAAGATAGTGAGTAACTTTTTTTTAAAAAGCAGTTTTTGTTTGAAAAAGGAGATATTTTCAGCTTTTCTGGTTACTTTTTCAAGCTGTGCTTCTGTCTTTTATAAGATTATGGACCTAATGCTGCTTACCTAGTGCATGATGTTTTAAATTCCCATTACAAAACAACGCTCAAAACTGGATCAATCTCAGCATAATCTGTCCTGTGATTGAAGCAAATGTCAAACTAATCTAAAACCTTAATCTATGCTTGTAAAATAATCGAGTTCTTAGCTTCGTTCTGTACTATACATACATATACCTAATTGAATTCTCTACATCTTGTACTCATACTACATTCATTTAATCTCGCCTCTCGCCTCTATTTCTTCCTACCATCTATTTCACACACATTCATCTCATAGATATTGGTTTGAAGAAATGGAAAGGAGTCGCGTTGTCCCCAGATAACGAGCGGAAGATGAAGGAGTTCCCTCCGCCTCCGAAGCCGAAGGAGTTCCCTCCCCCTCCGAAGAAGGACTATGACGCCGTCCAGAAGGAAAATGTGGAACCTCCACCACCGGTAGACGAGACAAGCACGGAACCGACGGTTAGTTCACACTTTTACATTCTTAGGCTGAGTTGCACCACCTAACTTTGACCGTAACTATAACGATAACCGGTGATTTTTTATTGAGTTTGACAGATTTTTGACGTTTGTCAAAGTTAAAGCAAGATGGTGCAACCCAGCCTTAAATTATATTTGTAAGATTGTCGACAATTTTGAAAATTCCTACTCCTGGTTTTGGTGGTATTATAACAATATTAAGTTTTCAAACAACATAAATAACATCGTCAAAATTGACATCTGGTCCATTAATAACAAAGTAAGAATGTATGTTAGTCAAAAAACCGTCAATCCAAAAAACTTCTTTATAAATCATGGCTAAAACTATCTCCAATACATTTCAAACAAAAAATTACCCATTAGTTAGACAGAGACATATCAAATTAAACAGCTCTCTTTTTGCGTCGAGGAAAAAGGAATACTTATGACTGTGTATTGACAATTACTCGTTTCCATTACCATGATATGGCTTTTTTGGTAACTCACGTTTAACCATTTCTTTTGTTGCATTACAGATTGTGACAGTCGAACTGAACAGAGGCTGGAACAGTCGGCTGGGGTTCAGCGTACAAAGTCATCCCGAGTCGGGACAAAGCTACATCTCAGCGGTGTACAACGACAGTGTAGCGGCGAGAGACGGTCGGCTGCGGCGCGGTGACGTCATTCTGCAGGTAGAGTGACGTCACTAATAGCAGTACACCGGTTAGGGTTCAGCATACAAAGTCATCCCGAGTCGGGGCAAAGCTACATCTCAGCTGTGTACAACGACAGTGTAGCGGCGAGAGACGGTCGGCTGCGGCGCGGTGACGTCATCCTGCAGGTAGAGTGACGTCACTATAGACACCGGCTAGGATTCAGCGTGCAAAGTCATCCCGAGTCGAAATAGAACTACATCTCGGCTGACTACAACGATAACGTCGCGGCGAGAGACGGTCAGCTGCGGCGCGGTGACGTCATCCTGCAGGTAGAATGACGTCACTATAACAGTACACCGGCTACGATTCAGCGTGCAAAGTCATCCCGAGTCGGGGCAAAGCTACATCTCAGCGGTGTACAACGACAGTGTAGCGGCGAGAGACGGACGGTTGCGGCGCGGTGACGTCATCTTACAGGTAGAGTGACGTCACTATAGACACCGGCTAGGATTCAGTGTGCAAAGTCATCCCGAGTCCGGGTATAGCTACATCTCAGCGGTGTACAACGACAGTGTAGCGGCTAGGGATGGTCGGCTAAGGCGCGGTGACGTCATTCTGCAGGTAGAGTGACGTCACTATAGACACCGGCTAGGATTCAGCGTAAAAAGTCATCCCGAATCGGGGTATAGCTACATCTCAGCGGTGTACAACGACAGTGTAGCGGCGAGAGACGGACGGCTGCGGCGCGGTGACGTCATCCTGCAGGTAGAGTGACGTCACTATAGCAGTACACCGGCTAGGATTCAGCGTGCAAAGTCATCCCGAGTCGGAGCAGAACTACATCTCGGCTGACTACAACGATAACGTCGCGGCAAGAGACGGTCGGCTGCGGCGTGACGTCATTCTGCAGGTAGAATGACGTCACTATTGCAGTACACCGGTTAGGGTTCAGCATACAAAGTCACCTCGAGTCGGGGCAAAACTACATCTTTGCGGTGTACAACGACAGTGTAGGGGCGAGAGACGGTACACTGCGGCGCGGTGACGTCATCCTGCAGGTATAGTGACGTCACTATTGCAGTACACCGGTTAGGGTTCAGCATACAAAATCATCCCGAGTCGGGGCAAAGCTACATCTCAACGGTGTACAACGACAGTGTAGCGGAGAGACGGACGGTTGCGGCGCGGTGACGTCATCCTGCAGGTAGGGTGACGTCACTAATAGCAGTACACCGGTTAGGGTTCAGCGTACAAAGACACCCCGAGTCGGGGCAGAGCTACATCTCAGCGGTGTACAACGACAGTGTAGCGGCTAGGGATGGTCGGCTAAGGCGCGGTGACGTCATTCTGCAGGTAGAGTGACGTCACTATAGACACCGGCTAGGATTCAGCGTACAAAGTCATCCCGAATCGGGGTATAGCTACATCTCAGCGATGTACAACGACAGTGTAGCGGCGAAAGACGGTCGGCTGCGGCGCGGTGACGTCATCCTGCAGGTAGAATGACGTCACTATAACAGTACACCGGCTAGGATTCAGCGTGCAAAGTCATCCCGAGTCGGGGCTGAGCTACATCTCAGCGGTGTACAACGACAGCGTCGCTGTAAGAGACGGTCGTCATCCTGCAATCACAGTGACGGCAAAGTAGAATAGGATCCACTCCCACTATTCGAATGGACATCGTAAGAGGGCGACTAAGGGAGAAAAAATCAGGCTTCCCCAACGTGGGGGACAGACTCTTATTCCTGCGGTGGAGACTAAATGACCTGAGGTTTAGGTTTTTGTGGCCACGGAACATAAGCCCTTTAACTACAGCTACTAGAGGATGAAGGAATTCATTGAAGAATGCCCCACAATCTTAAGTGCGTGGCGTCTAGAACTACGATAACATGATTTTTGTAACGGAATGATAGCTTTAGTGATAATATGCGAAACCGGAAGTGAAATAGAGGGGGAAACGTTTTGATTTCATGCTCAGCAGAGCTCGAAAACATACGAAGATGGAAACTAATGAATACGTTTTCAACCTCAATGAATTTGATAGAAAGTTCACGTTATGACATAATTTAATTAAAGGTAAACTGCGTAGGTAGTTTAGGAAAATGTATCACTTCAATTAAGTGACGAAGCTATCAAAACACGATTTCTTCATAGATTTTGCAGTAGCATTTAAAATTTTCAGGACTACTTAATATGAATTCCTATAAGAGACATTGTGCCTACCTACATATTCGTTAATATGGTGTCAACTACCCAACTTTTTCTTTTGATTTACAAAACATACAGTCAAATAATTATTATTTATTTATATTTACCTAATATCACAATTTTCTTCTCTTTCCAGGTGAACGATGAGAACGTGACTTCAATGAAGACACCAGAGGTGATAGACTTGCTCCGAATACTGAGGGGATCTATCTGCATCACAGTTCTAAGACCGCCTAACGCACAATAAAAGCACAAAAGCACCCTATCTCATTAGCCACAGAGCTGAATATGAAACGAGACTTCACGCTGTAACGGAAGGCCTTTTGAAACAAAAGGCAACTGCGTCGTTGCTCTAGTGATGTTGTTGGTGCGATAATCTAATTATCGATATTAAGTAATCTCGTATCAATAATTCNGACGTCACTATAGACACCGGCTAGGATTCAGCGTGCAAAGTCATCCCGAGTCGGGGCAAAGCTACATCTCAGCAGTCTACAATGATAGCGTTGCGGCGAGAGACGGACGGCTGTGGTGCGGTGACGTCATCCTGCAGGTAGAATGACGTCACTATTGCAGTACACCGGTTAGGGTTCAGCGTACAAAGTCATCCCGAGTCGGGGCAAAGCTACATTTCAGCGGTGTACAACGACATTGTAGCGGCGAGAGACGGACGGCTGCGGCGCGGTGACATCATCCAACAGGTAGAGTGACGTCACTAGAGTAGTAACTGTAAATCTTTTGGAGTTCAGCGTACAGAGCCATCCCGAGTCGGGGCAAAGCTACATCTCAGCGGTGTACAACGACAGTGTAGCGGCAAGAGACGGTCGGCTGCGGCGCGGTGACGTCATCCTACAGGTAGAGGAACGTCCCTAGGTTCCAAACTTTGGCGATTATCACACTGCACCGCGCTCCGCCGCGGTCCGCGTCGCGACTTACAGGGTGTAGTTTTGTAAAAGAACGCTTATCTCAGGGGTGGTAGTACACATGAAAGTAATTAGCTACAAGAAAAATATAAATATTTTTTTAAATATTACTTTATTAGTAAAAAACCTTGTTCAAACGTCTTCCTAAACTTCCGAGACGGCTCTTGTTACCCCCCGCACCAACCCCGCATACCTCGCTACACCACCGAGCACATGCGGCTGCTGCCCCAGGAGAACGGGGGGACTACTCGATAACTCGCCCGTGTAAATAATACCATTTTCCTGATTTCATGGATTTTTCCATATTTTTTTTAATATTTTTTTTTTAATCTGTGTCGTTTATACTAACACTACTGAGATGGGCGTTGTTTTACAAAACCACACCCTGTATAACGAATCCCGCGCGCAAACGCGTTGTCAGTGTCGTGTGCCGCGCGTGTTTTCTAAACAAACGTGAGGTAGGTTTGCATACAATGATTAAATCTGTCGTCCCGCGTACCGCGGCGGAGTGCGGTGCAGTGTGATAATCGCCTTTAGGCATAGTAGAATAATATCCACTCCCACTCCCCAGAAAAAATACGCTAACATTAGGCTTCTCCAACATGATTGAAAGTCTCTGTTCCTGCGGTGGAGACTAAATGATATTTAGGTTTTTGTGGCCACGGAACATAAGCCCTTTAACTACAGTTACTAGAAGATGAAGGAGTTCATTGAAGAATGCCCCACAATCTTAAGTGCGTGGCGTCTAGAACCACGATAATGTGATTTTCGTAACGGAATGATAGTTATCGTAGATTTAGTGATGCCATACCTTACTCTATGCGAAACCGGAAGTGAAATAGAGGGGGAAACGTTTTGATTTCATGCTCAGCAGAGCTCGAAAACATACGAAGATGGAAACTAATGAATACGTTTTCAACCTCAATGAATTTGATAGAAAGTTCACGTTATGACATAATTTAATTAAAGGTAAACTGCATAGGTAGTTTAGGAAAATGTATCACTTCAATCAAGTGACGAAGCTATCAAAACACGATTTCTTCATAGATTTTGCAGTAGCATTAATTTGGGTTTTCAGGACTACTCTACATAATATGAATTCATATAAGAGACATTGTGCCTTCCTACCTACTTATTCGTTAATAAGGTGTCAACTACCCAACTTTTTCTTTTGATTCGCAAAACACACAGTCAAATAATTATTATTTATTTATATTTACCTAATATCTTTCTTCTCTTTTCAGGTGAACGATGAGAACGTGACTTCAATGAAGACACCAGAGGTGATAGACTTGCTCCGAATACTGAGGGGATCTATCTGCATCACAGTTCTAAGACCGCCTAACGCACAATAAAAGCACAAAAGCACCCTATCTCATTAGCCACAGAGCTGAATATGAAACGAGACTTCACGCTGTAACGGAAGGCCTTTTGAAACAAAAGGCAACTGCGTCGTTGCTCTAGTGATGTTGTTGGTGCGATAATCTAATTATCGATATTAAGTAATCTCGTATGAATAATTCAAATCAAGTATAGTTTCATCAGTTTTAACTTCTTATTGATCAATCATTTTGGTACATGTAAGAATGAAATGTATAAAAATAGAGGATTTTTTTTCGGAATGAAAATTGAATATATTTAAACTATTTAGCAAACTCATTACCAGGCATCAGAATATTATGGATATGACAATAAAATAAAATTACATACAACATTAACTTCACCGTCAGTCGAACTAGAACTTATAATACAAAATACCTATTTGATTAACTAATTATAATTATAAGCCCACTGTAAAGTAAACATCTTGAAGTTCCTAATATTCCTAAAACTAGCTAAAACAAAAATGACACCCTGAAAACATTTCTTATATTAAACGAGTTACCTAATTAAGTGTAGGAGTGACGGAATTGATCTCTGTTTGTAATCTCATGAATGATAGGTATTCAGAAAATTAGTGTTAATGTTAAGCCTCGAAAGTCTTGCCCGACCAAAAAATACACAACGAAATCAATGGATTACGATTTTATTTTTATTGAAGTACAATAATGGAATGGCTTTGCAAATTAACAAAAGCTATTTGTTCGATATTTTAAATGAACTCTGAATATTCGACGTCGAATATCGATATCGGCAAAGTCTTTTATGCAGCACTACCATCAGAGATTTTCTTCATCCAATTTCTAAAGCAATTACTTGGTTTTATGCTGCCCAAATAGAACTAGAGTTTATTTTGTATGTATGTCTAAATTTGGCTTCGAAAAACGCAGAAACTGTTAGCAATTAATTTAGTAATTGGATGACCTATAGTCAGTCATTGTGACCATACAAAACACAATGTTTATCACGTATATACTACACTAATATCAATTATAACAATAAATAGCACAATACGCGTTTTATTGTAGAAAATTGTAAGAGATATTAGCATTCCACGAATTAATTACTGTAAATAGTGTAAATTAAAAGACAGTATGTAAACGTAGTGTCTACTGTTGTTTTAAATTTTAATGTAATGAATGAAATAAAACAATTCGAGGGAAATCGTAACACCCAAATATGTATGACTGGGTCTCAGATAATGTATTTTTGATCAAAATTAAATTATTTATTAAAATTTGTTATAATGCTATAATGTTTAATCTGCCTCCAATATTCCTGCCTGAATGTATATTTTTATCAAATATTTAAAATACTGCTTGCACACAGATAAATAGTGGAAAATTTTGCAAGCAAACGTATATTTTCGATTACATAATAAAGGATTACTTTGAGACAATAATAGGGATGATGACACTACTGACATTTTTTCAACCAATATTGAAAGAATACATTAAGTATGAAAATATTTTTTTAAAGTTAATTTGTACGAACTACGAATTCGTTTATGATTTGGCCAATCGCTAACGCTGTATTACCAGAATAATATTATGTATACTTAATGTGACTTTTTCAATAGTTTTTGTAAATGGTGTCATCATACCTAAATGTAATTACTTTTGTACTTACTATTATTAATTTGATCTAGGTAGGAACTTTCTACTAGCATTACTTTAATTTCATTAAATTGAAAAAACTCCATAGCAATGAAGTAGGTAACCGTTATTGCTTACAATTAATTCGTACAAATTAATTATTTTTATGCAAAAGATGAGTTATTACAAAGTACCTATAGGTTTTGAAATTCTAGATGGAATAAAGTAAAATTTTGTAATTTTCCGAGTTAGAACGCATTTCGAAATTTACCTATGTCACATATTTTATGTATTTAAATAATGTAAAAAGTGTTAACCTCTGAGGTCATACGCGTTAAAATAGGCCTATGGGTCATAGATGGACCTGAGTAAATCTTCCAAAACTTGTAAAACACTATAGTACTCTATGATATTCGACCTAACATGTTATTATAGCTATATTTCTTTATCTAGGCACTGATAATAATCTAGTCAAATCTAAATTTTAATTCTATTTATCACAGTTAACCCTCTGAGAAATCCTTAAATATATTTAAAAGTACGTTAATTATCTAAAGTACAGAGACGTCATTCTAATTGATTTCTCAGATTAGTAAAAATGTTATTACCTTGAAAGATTTTATTGACAAATCAACTGAAGAAATCTATTTTAATAATTATAAATAAATTATAATGTAGTTAACGTAGAAGTAAAGATATTACAGATGTGTAACATTAACGAATCAATCAACTGATATTCTAAAATAATTGTGATGGTTTATGTTAGTATACTGTGTATTGTAAAGTCTAGATGTACGAAAAAGATTATTAATATACGATGTACGTGCATATAGACCTGGCCCAGTTATATTGTTTCCAAAAGGTTAGTAAACTGCATACCTCACACTGTTGTAAATAGAAGTAACTTAAATGTATATTTTTATGAAACCTGGTCATTCTGTAAATCTGTAGCTTGTATTAAATAAGCCTACTTATCACCATATTACATATTACACCATACAATAAGTTTGTTTGTATTTATTATCATTTAACCTACGTTATAATTCATTTTAAAAAATTTGAAGATATGTTTCAAATAATTAATAAATTCTAAGTCATCACGGAATGCCTGAGTAGAATATGTAGAAGTAGTAACATGACAAATGGAATGAAATATTAGACATGGATTATCATCATACATATCCATTTAACATAATATATTATGGTATGGAAATATCTTTCTAAGGTCATTTGGTCGGTCGATAAGAGATTGAGGTAACATATTTCCATTTAGAGGTATGATTTATTTTAAGAGGTACGCTCTACAAGTTGGAAAATACAGAATACTTCCAACACATAATTTTTATCATAGAGATGGGAATCAATCATTTCTTTGTACCTAGGTATTTGACTAATGTTCATCTGATATTAATATTTTTTACAGTCATCTATGATTTAACGTCTAAATTGTTAACGGCCGACCATTTGGTCTCGTTTGAACTAATCACCCCACAGTTGGCTTAAATTCTTTTGCAATTAAAATAATCTTTATCCATTTTGTAAATATTGAAAGCTTCTACGCCTATCTTAGCAACTGATTTGAAATATCTCACACGTACCTATGTAAGCACTTAATTGTAATGTAAAAGAGTAAATATGCGCTCAAATACACGTGAAAAAGTTTGGGGGAAAATATTCAATGGCAAAAAATAATTTAAATATTTAAATATTTAAATGTATAAATATACATGCCGCACATCAAACACCTCTGAAAACAGCTAAGATGAAACTGCTACTATTATACGGTGGCTCTCCTTCATGTAATAAAGTTTAAACCTTTAACCCTTTGTTAATGGAGAACTAACTCGTCAAATACAATTTGTAGAAGTCCTTAATATAAATTACAAATGACCATCGCCATAAGGTTTGTCACACATTAAATTCGTATCTCATCATGTAGTATCTTGCAAGTTTTAATGATGATTCAATCGATATAAATAAAAAACCTCATAAAACTTAAATAAGGTAAGGCTCTCAGAATTGAATTTAGATGAGGTGCAGTGTTTCCAATTCGGCGACTAACAATCCATATAGTAAATATGAAGATTTATTATGTTTGTGGTGCTCAATGTATGTTAGATGCCCGCGTGCTTGCTAGTCTACCCTACAACTGGGCCGTAGTGAAGGTGAGAACGTTATGTTACGGAATACAGTCATATAAGTTGGGATGTACCATATACTTAAATACGAGTAAATACTATAGTTATAAATAAATATAATTTAAATTATATGTTTGTTTTACTATACCACTAATATTTGAAATGCAATCCCTTACATACAATGCTGAATAAGCTAGATAAACCTACTAGAAATGTCTAGATGACAAGAGTATACCTAATAATGCTGGTAAAAGTGATACATTTTGTTTTGCTTTAATGTAGGTAAATTAAATTAATGTTTGGTAATTTTATTATAATATAGGTACAAAAGTCAGTATGAAGGCCAATATTTTAATATAAATGTTTATAAATAAATACTTACTTCGGAAAATTTACAGAATTTCGACCGAAAAAGCCAAAGATCGGCGTGCGTGAAAACTGAATATGCGTCAGTCCATCAATCAAAGATATCCTTCGACAGTTGTCAGTTAGGTGATAGGTGAATTTAACCCTTTAAATGTCTGCAAGCTTTTTCTTTTTATTTTGAATCCTCTCTGTACAATGTGAAGTATGTGACAATTTTAACTCGCAAATCCCTTGTCTCTATCTTTTAAAGGCTTTCTTCCAAAATTATACCACCCTAACCCTATTACACTGACTGGCTCGAAGGATCACAAGGAAAACTGTGAGCATGGATGGACTTTATGTGTGTTTTTGTTTCTTATTTAAATTTATAAAGGATGGAATTTTGTAATGCCACCTGAAGGGAAAGTAAGCTCCAATTACTGTACATAAAAAAAAACTCAAATTAAAACGTTCCTTTATTTTTCAAAAGGAAGACAACTGCATTCAAAGATTTCCCGCCGAAAATTCACTACCATACATTGAACATGATCACACAGACCAACATGAGGCGTGCAAGTGTTAATTTTAGCAAGTGCGCATTGAATGAATAATAGATAAACTATACAGTGTGTCCGGGCATGTAGTGATCAAACTTTAAAGGCGTAATCTATAGACAATTTTATCGATGAAAATACTTCAAAAATGGGGCCTGACCCATTTCTCGAAAAATTACATCGATTTAAGTTTTTAAGTTTTATTTTTCACCTCTTCTTTAAAAAACAAGTGAAAGCGTGGGTAGCTTAACATTAATAGGCAAATATTTTATATCATGCGATAGCCAATAAAATTATCTATTAGTAGAAGAAGAAAACAGACACAAGTTTCATACATTTTATGGGAGTAAGAATGGATTTAATTAGAAAAATACATAACTTTTTTCACTTCTTTTTCAGTTATTTTCCAACACAAGAAAAACCAGGTCGTTAAGGTATGTTTTATTTGCATTGTATTTTTAGTATTTGAGCTATTCTACAAAACGAATGTAAATTTATTAGTCTACGTCTATTAGTTTCGACGTAATTGTTGAACAAAGATACCCCTTCCCTGCGGTTTCCATAGCGCACGCGACATGCGAAAATGCACTGCCTGAAAGAATCACACAACCTATTCCGATTACTATGGAAACCGCTGGGAAGGGGTATCTTTGTNGATAGTAAAGAAGCAATTAACGAAAAGATGTGAATGCAAATGCAATCAGCCCATGAATACAGGTAAAGTCACAGGCAAATGCTAGTAATATATATATATTCAAAATGTACAAGTAAAGTCCTTTCAAATGATACCAAACACGGCATATTTATCTTAACTTTTTTTTTTACTCTGTATGTTATGTCCGCTAGAGGGCGCCACATTAGATTTTGTGAAACCCCATATAGCCTATAACCAGCGGACAATTAAGACGCTTCTAATGATATGTCATTTGTCAAATTCTGATAAGTAGTTTAGAAGTTACGAGGGAACAGATGAACATACATACATACATACATACATACATACATACATACATAGCCTGTCAAAATCATAACCCTCCTTTGGCTTTGCCGTAGTCGGGTAAAAAGATACAGCAAGCACGCTGAAAAACACTAGAAAAACGCGTTCTGACAAGTACGTTCGGGCTTCCAGAACTTCCAGAACCCAAAACAACAGTTTTTGTAACAAGAACGAAAAGATATAAAATATGCTATTTTTTATTTATTTACACTTCACTTGTTAGTATGTGTGGGACAAATCTTGCAACTGAATTTAAGACTAGTTCTCAACCGATTGAGCTGAAATTTGGTATACATAAGTAAGTACGATGAAAATGCAATGTTATGGTACCATTAAGCTGATCTGATGATGGAGTCAGGAGGTGGCCATGATGTCCAGGGTCCTGATGATGGAGTCAGGAGGTGGCCATAGGAATTCCTAAACGAAACGGTGGAAACTTATCGAGTTTGGGTTTGTTGGATTTGTCTTTTCGAGTACTTTGGTGCTAAATTGTATTGTAATTGAACCAAGGCTCTGAGATTGAGATACTATAGACTAAGAGCTGGTGAACGCCAGACCTACGTCATTTTATAAAAGCTGAAAGTTTGTCAGCGTATGCTCCCAATATAGGTTAGAATGTTGGTGGATTATGAAGTTTAGGTCATCGTTGCTTTGGCAGCTATCGTAAAAAAACTGTCTGGCAAGGAGTTGGAACTGTCAAAACTGTGTGGCTGATGTCGAAACAACTTCTAATCATTGCCCAAATATTATACATAAAAATCCGATTTTATGGTTAACACATGATAATAAAACGAAAAAAGTAATTGTACCTATAGTCCAGTAGAATTAGCTTTTAAATCGGAAATAATTCCTACAAAAGATTTTATTGTTTTAATGGCTTCATTGGTTGCCCATTAAGACTCTCCTAAGTTTTCGACTTCGACGGAGTTGTGCTTAAGTGGTGGGGGCCCCCGAAAGAGGCATTTTTTCGGTTTTCCGGTTATACCGCGTAAAGGACTTACCCTATCAAAAAGTGGTCTTCATGGCGGTTGAAGGGCACTTAATCCTGCATTGAATAAGACCAAATTCATATGTTTTGGACAAATCGTTCTCGCGCTAAAGTTCGGCAAAGTAGAAAATATACGTATAATTAATGACCCTCTCCACGTCCAATGGTTTATTACCCACAGGCTTCCAAGTCTTGTCAATGGTTGCATTAGATTCATTTTCGGCCTCCGGAAATTTGATCATATCTCGAGTTATAGATCCCAACTCAATTGGCTTCCCATTCGTCAGCGTAGGAACTCTAGACTTCTTGGCATTCTTTTCGCCGTTCTCTCTAATCCCACCTCTCCTTCCTACCTTAAAGAAAAGTTTACATATCTGCACCAATCGCATGACCGAACTCTCCGTTCTTCCGGAAACCTTCGGCTTGTGACACCTGTCCACCACTCTGCCTTCTTCTCGAAGTCCTTTACAGTGCAGGCTACTCGCCTTTGGAACTCGTTGCCACAAGATGTCAGAGAGTCGGAAACGAGGACATCATTTAAAATGAGTGTACGTAAACACCTTTCCACATGATTGCGTAATATTGTTTATTTATTTATCACATATTATATGGTATTATATGTTAATTATATTTATTTATATTATATGTTTGTATGTATCTGTATATATGTATGTATATGTATGTATGTATGTAGGTATATGTATCTTAAATATTATATCAATTAAAAATTTAACTTCAATTTTAACTTCTACCCTTCTACCTCTACCTTCGCACACACAGCTTTCTGCATAACCCAGGGGTCGACTGGCTGAGAATGCTTAAATAGCATTAAGTCCACCTTTTGTACTATTTTATTGTGCAATAAAGTTTTATAATAATAATAATTAATCGAATTGTTAATCGATAATCGTTATTTGGCAATATCGATTAATAATCGATCCGTGATCGATTATGCGAGAACACTACAACTTAACTGGTAGAAATCCCATTGAAACATGACTGTGTTCATGTCATTTCTCTAAATGGTACCTGGGTATGGTCCTACGTTTATAATGTAGAACATGGTTTAAATATACAATTTTTTGGCCCCACTCCTGAACTGTTGGACATAATAATGGATAAATAACTTAATGTATTTAAAATGTAAGTAGATAAGTATATTAATTAATAATATTTTTTGTTTGCGCAATAAAGCACCTATTACTATTACACATTATGTCAATTTCCAAGCAAACCCGGGAGTTTTTGGTAGTTATTTATATGAAAATATATTTCTGATATTAAGTCCTAACAAATAATAGTAGTTACATTTCTGTTGGTTTTACGCCCAGATTCCATAGAAAAGTGCCCATCATCCTTTATAAAGGGTGGAATTTTGTTATGCCACCCGAAGAGAAAGTACTCAAATTACTGAACATAAAAAAATACTCAAATTAAAACGTTCCTTTATTTAAAAAAAAAAGACATCTGCATTCAAAGATTTCCCGAAATTTCCGAAAATTCACTACCATACATTGAACATAGGGTCACACAGACCAACATGAGGCGTGCGAGTGTTAATTTTACCAAGTGCGCATTGAATGAATAATAGATAAACTATATAAATCCTGTGAAATAAAAATATATAATATTAATTTGTATTCGAGCTTGAGTGATATTATCTAGTAAGTACCTAAACAAACCTATAATTTGGAGAACTTGAAAACTGATTCATTCATAAAGGTAATTAAATTAAACTTTATTCGTTCTTTGAACAAATATTTTAAAGATTTTTCCCAAAAATGAACTACCAACTGCATTGATTTGTTTTTTTTCAAGTAACGATCAATATTGTTTTTTAATCCTTCAAGTTCCGCGAATCCAGACACAATAGATAATTAATCAATTGTTACGCGGTAGCCGGCTACCGCTTAGGGGCTGAGGAATTTTGGAGAAAATTCTTTTTTTGTAAAAAAAATATTATGTTTTTCTCTTTCTTCAGCTTGGAACAATACTACAAACGATACTATGGCCAAATCATCCGAAGTAGAAGATAACGCTACTTTGAACTCTGAAATTATCCCTAAGAAAATAGATAAAGAAAATCGAAGCCAGACGATCAGCGTCTACGATCAAATAAGGCCCAAAAACGAGGGCTCGTTTATGTCCACTGTGAGAGAATGGGAAAAGATGGCTGGCTTCAAGACTCCAATAGTGTGGATCAACACCATAGCAATCTCCCTCGCCCATGCTCTAGTACTGGTGTCAGTCTATTTTTTAATTATTGACGGTCGTTATTATCCGAAATGGCAGACTATTGTATTTCGTGAGTATTTTATTTACTTTTTTATTCCACATCGCTAATCCTTTAAAAGATAACCTCATAATCTAAAGTTTAGATAATGAGGTTATCTTCTTTTGGTTTTAGAGCACAAGATAGTCTATTTTTAATATTACGACAAACTGTCGCACAGTTAGGCAGATCTGATTAAATTGTAAATATGTAGGTACTGTTACTTGTAAAGAACAAATAAATAAATAGAAAATAGAAAAATAAACGAAAAATAAGATTACCTACAGCGGAACAGTCCGTAAAAATAATAACCAAAACCAAATTAAAGACTGACTCTGAAGAAAAGCACTAGTGACTAACGAACGATAGATAACAAGCCGAGCTAGGATGTGCGCCGTGATATACTCTTATCGATGATTTTAGATGTCAAATTATATGGGCTTATCGCGTAAAATCGATAAAGGACATGCGCCCCATAATGAAATGACAACTCTATCGTAACGTAGGTATATTTGTATTTTTATCACTGATTTCAGAGTGCTTATCAATTGTGTTGACCACCTTCGGCATCGGCGCCGGTGCTCACAGGCTCTGGAGCCATCGCGCCTACAAAGCGAAGCTTCCTTTACAAATCATATTAGTGATAGGCTACACCATGGCTGGAATGGTGAGTAATGTAACGTAAGGGAAAATATTAGGGCCAAGATTAAATTGTGTTCGTACTTAGTATAACTACGATTGAGCACTACTTGCTACCGACCGCGGGCCGGAAGATGTAGTGTGGGCATTCCTTCCACTAAGTGGAAGTGAACGAACGAAAAATCGAATTTACCCTTTCCACCTGTCTTAAACGCAGCTACGTCCAATGGCGGACAAACGCTTCTCCGAAATCTAGAGTAATCTTTTCTGTATGCTTAGAACGACCTGTACCAGTGGGTGCGCGACCACCGCGTGCACCACAAGTTCTCCGAGTCGTCTGCCGACCCTCACGACGCCAACAGAGGCTTCTTCTTCGCCCACGTCGGCTGGCTGATGACGAAGAAGCACCCTGATGTAATCCGCGAGGGTAAACAAGTCGATATGAGTGATATTGACAACAACCCATTAATTCAATTTCATCTGAAGTAAGTGACAGCACCTAACTTACAATTTGTGTTAGGGGGCTACACAAACGGAGACACAGCAAACTGCGTAGCAGCTATCAGCTATCGCAGTACCTACAATTATAAGAAAAATTAGTCTACTGACGACTTTTACTTTCCAGACATTTGTATGCGACCTGAGGCGACACAAGTCACAAAAGTGTCAACGTTCTGCGCAGTATCTAACATCAATCATTCGATAGATTCTGACATTTAACATACCCCTTCAAGATCATTACCATGGGTTACAAATAATGAAAATCTGTTTGCGTTTTATTTCAGGTACTTTCAGGTGTTGAGACTTTTCTTCTGCCTAATATTACCGGTCGTTATCCCGGCTGTGTTTTGGGACGAGCGCGTGTCTGTTGCGTTCTTTGCTCAAGTCCTGAAATACATGGCCATGCTTCACGGCACATGGTCTGTAAACAGCTTTGCACACCTGTATGGCAACCGACCCTATAACAGGTTAGTTTATTCATCATCGCCTTGCATCATCAAGCAGTAATTCGGTGTTCGTGAAAGTACTTGAGGTAGGCAAATGCAACAAAACACTGGTGCAACAACACCACTTTCTCGTACTATGTTAAGAAGTCCGCGTGAGGTTGTAGTAAAGTTCCACATCCTACTATCCAACTAATATTATAAATGCGAAAGTTTGTGTGGATATCTGGATGTCTGGATGTTTGTTACTCTTTCACGCAAAAACTACTGAACGAATTTTGTTGAAACTTTACAGTATTATTGTTTATAACTCAGATTAACATAATAGGCTATAATTTATGACGATATGTGACAAACTAAATTTCAATAAATAAATAAGACGTGGTTAAAAAGCGCCATCTATCGTCATTGGTTAAAAATACATCGCTGGAAAAAAAAAATGACATTTGTAAATATGTACTCATGCGGGGGAATTAGTAATTAAACGAAGCCCACGCGTACGAAGTCGCGGGCGGCCGCTAGTCTTTAGTAAAAATGGACTGATTCATTAAAATTGTCAATAATGAATATCAAACCACACGACTAATGAAAATATTGTCATTTTCATCCATTTTATTAGGTCTTAGCTTTCCGCCCGCTACTTCGCCCGCGTGGACTACATTATATGTATAGTGGACCCGCTTATTTTTTTCCAAAATTTAGCCTATGTTACTCGTGGATAATGTAGCTTTCGAATGGTAAAAGAATCATTAAAAACGGTCTTGTAGTTTTTGAGCCTATTCATTACAACCAAACAAACAAAGTTTTCCTCTTAAGAAGTTACACATTTGCTTATTGTGTTTTATGTTTCAGCAAAATAATGCCTCGAGAAAACTGGGTGGTATCTTTTTTTGTCCTTGGCGAAGGCTGGCACAACTACCACCACACGTTCCCGTGGGACTACAAGGCGGCCGAGCTGGCCTTCCCTTTCAACGGAACCACGAACCTGCTGGATTTTTTCGCCAAAATTGGCTGGGCCTACGAACTGAGAGTGGCGCCACCATCTCTGATAGAAAAAGTTGCAAAGACTAAGGGCGACCTAAGTTATCACAAAGAGTAATTTATAAGTAATTGTCAAAAATAAACTTGCCGTTCCAAACAGATTCAATGAAATGATCTAACTAATTAGATTTAAATCATTCCAGCAATATTTCTGCTTTATATGTATTTATTTAAAGTTCTCAACTACAACGCTACCAATCGATCAACGTGGAAAGCATTGGGGGAGGCCTATGTTCAGCAGTGGACGTCCTATGGCTGAAATGATGATGATGATGATTTAAAGTTCTCAAGCTCTTAAAAATAACCCATTACGGAAATGGCCGATGTCAATATAAGGTATTGTTGATAAATAGGTATGAGCTTGTAAAACTGCTAATAAACTGCATCCTGTCTGTGTCAAACGCGCAACTATGCATTTGTGGTTCATAGGTCTTCACTTCCTGTAGGCAAATGCACAAATAATAAATGCAGGTAAAAACCCTCAAAACTAGGAAGCTTATTTATTTAGAAACTATTTTATTTAATTACTTAAAAAACTAAAGTTCTCCATTCGGTAAACCTTACAACTTTATCTTGTTCATGTGCCTGACCAGACAGCAGGTGGATGAGCTGAGCCAGTCCTTGAGGAGCAGGCAGACAAACTAACGGCCGCTCTACGGGCAATGCCTGAATTCTGCCGCGATATCAGCATTATTAACAAAAAATTTAACAAATCCAAATTCATTCAAGAAGAAATTGACACTTTATCTATTGGAAAACATTTTTTATAGCGTAGAGAGGATTATGTAAATAAAATTTTAATTGAATTAACAAAATTGACATAAAATAATAATTCAGTCGAGTTTGACATAATTGTAATATTAATATTTATTTCATCTGACACGAGTATTGATTTTAGTATGTGAAATGCAATTTTAGGGTTAGATTGGATTTATTTTATTTTATTTTAATTGAATTTGACATTATGTATTGTAGTAATAATTTTATTTATTTATTTCATCTGACACGAATATTGTTAAGTATACAGGGTGTTAGGTAAATGGGTATATGAGCCGACACAAGCCCATGTTAACATGGTCATATAAATGGTATGGTGAAGTCAGAAAATTGATATCTTCATTTTAATTATTTTATTTTTCATACAAATCGGATTTTATAAAATTTATTTTGTATGAAAATTAAAAAATATATACCCATGGCTCATATACCCATTTACCTAACACCCTGTATAAATGCAAGTTTAGGGTTAAATTAGATAAATGTTATTTTAATTGTATTGATTATGTGAATTTTAATGTCGAAGTAATTAATTTTTCTATACAATGTATTTTGTTTTTGGAATAAATAAAATGAAAATGAATGAAAATTAGGTGACCTGTAAAAGTTCACCTGACGTTCCTGTCATAAAATCAGAATGTTAGGTCGTATAGACCGCCATAAGGCTTACGAGTGGTTGTTTGTTTATAAACACTTGATCCAAAGAATCAACGTTAATTCAGTGATCATCCGTCGAAGTAAACCAAGTCGAAGTAAGCAACCTGGGCAATGTCCGCGTGGTCTGTTCACGCGGGCGGCTAATCTCTCACCTGCGCGGCAAGTCTCGTTAACTCGGAGGGCCTGTCGGGCAACCCGTGACCCACAATTGAGTGGGCCGGGGGCCGTTGAGGTACGGGCCACGATGCAGGGGACATCTTTAAAAACCCCCACAGGTGGGGGCTGGCGGGGCGTTTGCCCGGGCCCATTCTCTGGAGGGCCGCTCTCGGTACTACCTACTCTGATCAGCAGAGCTGACCGAGCAGCGGCATAGAGCAGACCGTAACCCACTACGGCGGGCCGGGGGTCCTGTAGTACCAGGGCCGCGAGGAGAAAACCTCTATAAAAAACAACTGGAGGAGGGGATTGGGGGTTCCCTCGAAGCCAGAGAGGCTCGCTCGTGGCGAGCCTCTAGCCTGAGGCGGAGCTGCGGACAAATGTCCAACCAGGACAATATCTCGCGGCTCCGTTTCTTTGGGCTCCGTTGCTTTAGTGGGTAGGCGGGGAGAGTCCCACATAACCCACTGGCCGTCGCCATAGACCAGTCGGCCGGGTATGCGCAAAGCATTTCCCGACGAAAAAAAAAAACGCGCCGCGTACTATCCACGCCGGCGAGCGCGTGACTCTGAACCAGCGCGCCAAATATTTACGATTTGTAAAAAGAATCGCGTGCATCGCAATGTGATCTAGGTACATTCAGCGTCAAATACTTCGTTTAACCCAAAGTAACCAAAAAGCTCGTAACACGGACAACAATGAAGAAGTTTCGTGATGTTGAAAACATTTTCATTGTTGGGATTAAAATATAGACCATAACTAAAAAGACGGTGAAGTTTTTTATCCATCATGAAATGGCTGAAAAATTACTTATTTAAATTACCTACATATTTTCGCGTGGAACTAAAACGTTGTGCGTTGAATTCACGCCACCAGTTCTATTTTCAACCAAATCAACCACAATGCTTACCACCCCTGGCGCGTTGTCGAGAATAACACTATAGTCTACGTTAAAGTCTTCTTCTTCTTTTTTATGTATGGCCAGGTCTGGAATATGTCAGAAAATGGTTACAAAATAATTTAACTAAGAAATAATCTTGAGTGATCCTGGCTGAAAAATTAAAAACTACTAGATTTTTATAAACTGTCTGTCAACAGCACTGGATCAGGGGTGATTCACTGTTTCGAATGAGTGCCGTGACGTCACCGATGAAATGGCGCGAAATATTATGTTATGCGCATCTTTGGGGCCCTGTAACTTCTTTATTTGTAGAGATATTTTCATGATTCTTTCACAATTATTATTGGTTTTACTTATATTTTTTAGTTTTATTTATAGAATAAAAATTGGAAACTCCTCCATTGGAACGTGTTGCCAACTATTGACTCGGCCATTCTCACGATTAGGCGTTCTCAGCCTAATTACCATATTATTTTTGAAATTTGGCTTAATTGACTTAAACGTATTTAAATATAAAACACATGAAAAGTACGAATTTAACAATCGTAAAGGCGTCAAATTATTCAAAGCGGTTTTCGCGTAAATGAGATCCAAAAATTTTATGGTCACGGTAATTAGATAAGGCTAATACTTAATCTAACGGTAATTAGAAAATATATGTAAAATAGCAAAAAAAGCAACATCATTCATTGATAAATTTGTACACAAATAATAGCGTCATATAAAAAGCTGTAGGTACTCTTAATAGCCCTTTGCAAAAAGAAGAACACTAATTTCTATTATTTATTGTATCATTATATTTTCAGTATACTGCAAGAATCGAGGCTATAACAGGAACACTTAGTTTCAGCAAGAAGGGGCTATGTGTCACATTTAAAATGAGAGCATTTAGCTGAATCAGAATCTGAATTTTGCAATTTGCTTTAAATGTGGTAGCACATCATTTAGACCGCGTGAGCTAGAATTATTTCAACACCCTGAACTGATTGAACCTGTACCTAAAAATGAGACGCACCTTCAAGTAATTTATGACGGTGACGTGGGATTAGTGGGGCACTGGAGTTGTATTTATTACATTAATGGAATACTGCGTGTGTACGATAGTCTTGTTGGTGTTCTAGGAAAATCGCAAAAAATATATGTAAAAGCCTTGTTTCCGTATCTATCGGAGTCATGTATTCAGTTTCCAAGTGTTCAGCGACAACCGAATACTATTGATTGTGGTTTGTTTGCCATTGCTTTTGCCACCTCTTTAGCTCGGAATATTTATAAATACATATATAAAATTAATATTCATACATAAAAGTACAAGGCAAAATATCGGGAGAGTTTAGGCTCCATTCACCAGGTGTATAAATTGACATAATAAGTTTATTATATTTGCTGCTACGGAACCCTTTGTGCGCGAGCCCGACTCGCACTTGGCCGGTTTTCTTAATGTGATCACGCTAGGTAAGTGTTACTGTTGGACAATCTCATCTTCTTAGGGCAAAGTTAACATGGATAGATTTTAATGGTATTATATTAGAATTAATTAATGATTTAACATGTTAATATCAATTATATTAATAGTAAAAATAAATATCTGGTACGAGACATGTTTCAAGCAGGGGACATCTCCTGGCCATCAGGATGCCCCGATTTCACTCCAGCTAACTTTTTTGTGGGGTTACCTTAGGGGTTAAAATTAGAGATGAAACGGATATCCGGCAACTATCCGGTAGGCCGGATATCCGGCCTAAATTTACTATCCGGCCGGATACCGGATAGTAGCTCACTATCCGGCCGGATACCGGATATTAAAAAACTACGAAAATTTCCTATAATAAAATGAAACACATTAATCTTTGAGTTAATATCAATAAAATGGCTTATAATAATGACGGTTTTTATCGAAAGTCCAAAAAGTTACAAAAAAGTAGTGATGGGCCGACTATGGTCTTTGCCGACTAACCGACTAGCCGACTAATCGGTTTTCAAATTGCCGATTAGTCGGCCGACTAATCGGCAATGCCGATCATTCTAATACCTACTTGTCCGAAGAATAATATATAGATTTCTCAAAGAAATAAGAATATCTAGATTTCTTAAGAGATAATATACATATTTATTATAACTTCTTGAGAAATAAGATTTCTTTAATATGAGAAAAAATAAATAAAGCAACATTACAATCACCTAACAGTACCTAAGGTAGATGTCATAAGTTTCGACCACAGAGGGGTCAGGGGAGGTGACAAATGATCGCCTCCTGCTGGGCTAGGATATTCTTATCGACGTCAAAATGTATGGGAAAAATTGACAAAATGTAGTGAGAACGGCTTATCGCGGCGCGCATCCTAGGCCCACTGATTCCTCTCCACCCTCCACGGTGATGGTCAGCGAGCTGAGGGCGTGAGGGTAGGTCTAGGTACCCCCGCCTGCATTGCACGGACTACCACCACCGTCGTATAGGCAGGGCCCGCCATACAGGTGGGAAATTGCTTTGTCCGGATTCCCATAGTTCTTCACACTAAGGCGATCGACGGAGCTCAGGGGTTATATGTGGGTATTCCTCATCCTTCCGATGAGAGGAGCCCCACATAATCTACCACTTTCCCGCAGAGTAGGTATGCAATTGCATTATTTTCCCCGAAAAAAAAGTGTCATAATTTTTATATGGACAAATTGCATAAACTTTA